GAATCTGTAAAATCTCCCTCTATCATCACTCTTGCCGTTTGTTTGTCATATATGGCTTCTATTGCTTGAATAAATTTTCTAGCAAAGCCCATCTGTTCCAATAACAAAAACATGAATCTCCAATTCACATTATCAAATGCTTTTTGGGCATCTAAAAATATCAAAGCCATTTGTTTTTCAGGGTGTGCCTCGTAATATTCCAAAGTGTCCAGAATTACCTTCATATTATCCCTAATTTGTCTCCTTGGCAGGAATCCATTCTGGTCAGGATGAATAAAGTTATTTAGGTATCTTTTGAGCCTTTCTGCCAGGATGGAAGCAAAGATTTTGTAATCTGCATTCAGTAAAGAAATAGGTCTATAGTTCTTAATTTGTGGTGGATCGGCCCCTTCTTTTGGAATAAGTGTGATATAAGCTTCTGACCATGTTTTGGGTATTTTCTTATTTAACATGGCTTCATTCATAACTTCTAACAGTGGAGTGTTCAACGATTCTTGTAATGTTTTATAAAATTCTGCCGGGAGCCCATCTGGGCCTGGTGCTTTTCCATTATTCTGCCTATTAAATGCTTCCGTTAGTTCCATCATTGTTATGGTACTTTCTAACATTTTTTCAGTCTCTTCAGATATCTTAGGTAGGTTAGCATTTTGTAGATAAAGCTTAATTCTTTCCTCATCAAAATCCTCCTGCTTATATAATTGTCCATAAAAGTCTTGGATAATTGTCTTTTTCTCCTTATTACCATAACACATTTGGCCTTGATCATCTATTAACTGTACTATTTTCCTAGATTCTTTCTCCTTTCTCAATTTGTATGCTAGCCATCTACCTGGTTTATTTGCATCTTCAAAATAGTTCTGTTTAGCACTTCTAATTTTTTATGCCAATTCTTCTTTCTCTGCCTGACCCATCTTATGTTTAATTATATCCATTTTGAATTTAATATCTTTTTTCTGTGGCATATTCTGCAATTCTTTTTCCAGTTTTTTATAATCATCTTCTAAAGCTTTAATAGTTTGCCTCTTCCTAATATTCTTTTTCTTTGTATAATCCATTATTAATCCTCTCACATATGCCTTCATTGTATCCCAAACATTCTGCATTGAAGTATCTTCTTTTTTATTTTCACTGAAAAAGAAAGCCAATTCTTTGCCCATCCACTGTGTAAAGTCTTTTTCCTTTAAGATAGCGTTATTTAATGTCCATCTAGATCTTCTTCTTTGTCCTTTCCATTTAATTGTCATAGGATTATGGTCTGCCCATATACCCGTTTCTATATTTATTTCTTGAATGTTAGATATTAGTTCTGATGAAGTCCAAATCATATCTATTCTGGACCATGATAAATGTCTATTTGAATAAAAAGTATATTGCTGGGTTTTACCATTTCTTTCTCTCCATATATCTTTTAAATTTAATTCATCTACCATTTTAAAAAAGGATTTAGGGAGAGTCTTTCTATTTTGTTTTAATGCTGTCGCTGTATAGTTCAATTTATTATCTACAATTCCATTAAAATCTCACATCATATTTATATTGACATGGTCCAGTCCAATTGATTTCATATGTAACTTTTTATAAAATTCTTCTTGTTTATCGTTCGGAGCATAAATTGCAACAAGTAGTGTTTTTATATTGTTATCCACTATTTCAACCATTAATACTCTTCCATCTTCATCAGTATAAACCAATTTTGCTGCAATAGTTTCTTTAATGTACAGGACCACTCCTCTTTTCTTAGTTAGTCAAGGAAGTAAAAATTTTCCCCAGTTTTGGTCTTACCAATAATCGTTGATGTTGTTTTTTAATATGTACTTCTTGTAGGCAAATTATATCAAATTTTAACTTCTCTAATTTATAAAAGATTTTTCTTCTTTTAATAGCTGAGTTCAATCCATTTATATTCATAGAATTTGGATGTGGGATTGATTTGGAGAAATGGGAAAAGTTGTGGTCTCAAAATTATAAAATGACAATGTCAACAGCTTATAAAGAAAACTTGTATAAGATGTTTTACAGGTGGCATTTTCCCCCGACAAGAATTGCAAGAATGTTTAAGAACAAATCTGAAAAGTGCTGGAAATGTCATCAGATACCTGGCTCATACTACCATATGTGGTGGACTTGTGAGGACGCTAGAAAATATTGAACTAAAATTCGCATATGGTTGGAAAAAATGACAAAGACACATATAGACTTGAAACCAGAGATTTTTTTATTGGGAATCTTACCTGATATATATATAATAAAAATTTGAAGTATTTGATTGTAAATATATTAACAGCGGCTAGGATTGTATTTGCTAAGAACTGGAAGAGTGAGAAAACTCCATCAGAGGAAGAAATTATTAAGAAAATATTGGATTGTGCTGAAATGAGTAAATTGACATTTGAAATCAGAGAACAAGAAGATAAACAATTTTATGAAGTTTGGGATCTTTTTTATCAATGGTTAGATAATAAAACATAATAATAGAATATTCAGATTTAGCATAAAAAAATTTTTTTTCTTGATATTATCTTTATAAAACATTATCAAGATAGATTTGGTATGATCTTATGATTTATTGCAAAATAAACTAAGTAAACTATAGTTATCTCGTTAAAATATGAATTAACAAAATTATAAATAAATGATTTTTTTTAGTGATATTAGGTTATACAATTATTGATGAGCTATTATATGAGCTATTATGCATTATAATTATATTAGTGACTAGGAAATGGATGCACAAAAAAAGTGGTAAACCAATTGATGCACTGTATGTAAATTCATGAAGAAGGAGGATATTTTTTTGTTTTTTGTGGTATGTTTATGTTGTCTTGTTGTTAAAATAAAAAAAAATTATATATAAAAAAAAGCAGTAACCCCCCCCCCAAAACAGCAGAAACCAGCAAAAAAACAGCCAACCTAATACTGTCACTATGATGCTGCAATCAGTCGTAAATGAGCTGTATGCCAAGTGCCCAAAATATAATCATGTGACTCTGCAAGAGAAGAATGGTACAGTTTATGATGGCTAGATGTTATTTACAGGTCGTAAAGCATCCTTTCCAATGCCATTGTTAACTCTGAAAAATCATTAAATGGCGGTCATAAGCCAAAGACTACCTATAAAATTATATTGCCTATTAAGAGAAAGCCTTTTTAATTGCACAGTAATACAAAACAGAAAATCATGTAATTACAGTACTAGCATTTTTATGATAATCCCAAAACAGAAAATCATTCTGAAAATAGGGAAATACGTTAAAGTTTCAGTCTAACCATAAATATCCATCGTCATATATTTGAAAGATAATTTCTATGTAATTTTGGGTTAATATTCTTAAGAGATGGACAATCTATTCCTGACAATCATGGTTACCATATACATAATACTCTTGTGGGGATTTTATTGACAGGAGCTTATACTTGATGCATTTTCATCTCAGATGCTAAGACCAATAATAGACATAACTTTTAAACCTAAATTTTTAATATTTAATACCCTGGACAACTTTGATCATATCACATTTCTAAGTCCATTCATCAACTGTAGAATGACCCAGGGAGATATAAGATACGTACGGTCAATGAGAAGCAGAGTAATGTAAAAACAAAACAAAACAGAAAACAACCAAACCCTAACTATGTATAACAAAGAGAAAAAAAAGAGGAATGAGCCCATGCTCCCACTTGGGAAATATCAATTAAAGGATAAGGAGTTGCTTCTTTTTATTAAAAAAGAAATCCATATCCAAGTTTAACAATAACAACAGCAAAAATCATTATTCGGCATTTTTAACTTTGTGTCAGTGAGAGTTTGAATATTTTATGTATAACTTTGTTTTATGATTCTTACATTTTCAGTATCATGATTAAGTTATGTCAACTAATTTTCAGAGACCAAAATAGATCTAGATTCATATCCAAATACTGACGAAGACTTGGAGGCTTTGGAATAATGGACTTCTTTCATTGTAGCCAAAATGCAATGATAATCCTTTATCGGAAAAAACACTAACAGAATCAAGAATGATCAGCAGAAAATAAGAATTATAAACCTAGCAAGTCATAAAATGCTAAAGTCAAAAAAGGGACAGTGATTTACTGAAAAGAATGCATTAGAAAATGTGGATTATTGCCAGTAAAAAGGAAAAGCGGATAAATATATTAAGTACAAATGGAAACATAATTAATGTTAGTCTGAAGTCTTCAAGGAAACAACTGCATTCTAGAGGCATCTTCACAAATAACCCTGTAGAAAAGTACATAGTCGTTCCAGACTTTTCGTTTTTTTTCAATTTATAGTGTACTTTCAAATTCATTAACCATTACTAAGAGGATGCAGACCTTCGTATTTAAGCTTATATTTTTTAAAAATAAAAAAAATAAAGGGAAAGAAGAGCAGCTTGCAAAATTACTTTCTCTTGCTCATCGAATATTTTTAAATTGAGATCGTTTTCTCATTCTGCATAGGTAATCTCCCAAGCGTCATACTACAGCCAATTCAATTATGCATGTATATTAAGCACAAATCTCCATTTCCTCCTGAAGCTAATAACCTTGTCCACTCTCTAGGCAGTTTCTGTGGTAGTACTACCAATGAAGACCATGAAAAGGTATTTTATCGTAATTCTCATCTGTAATGCTATGTACCTGAAACTATTTTTAAGAAGGCAATGTCTTATTCTGGATATCACCATATTTCTATGAGCTAATTAAGTCACAGCACAGAATCAAAATTTTAACAGCAGCATGGAATAAGCCATGTTTCCACATTTCAATTTGTATGATATGGATTCTGCATACTTTAGGGCTAGATGTCACTTTTGGTTGAAGTTTGCAGATGAAATGAAAAATGGGCTCAAATAGAAAACTAGGCAAGGAAAATGTATTATATAGGCCTGTGAGAATAATTGACACTCCAATACTCAAAACCTATCACTATCCAGATTTTTGCTTTTTCTGAGTCTGAAAGTACAAACTGTTGACCTTTTGTTTTTTTTTTCTTGAGCAGCTAATTTCTCTTGAATTGGTACGGTACAATGTAGTAGTTTGTACTGCTCCCCTATCCAAAGAACCGTTTCTTGTGCAATTGTTTACAGAGAGCTTATATCAAATGAAAGCATAAGAGGTATATACAAAATATAATTTCCAATATATATTTTGCCAAAAGAGGAACTAATTAAAAATATCCACTAAAAACCACTGAAGACGCAAATAGGAATTGCTTTGTAGTTTTTGGAGTTGGCAATATAGAAGAAACCACTGTATATTCAGATTTTTACTCTGAAGCATACATTTAATTTGCTGATTTTTAGATAAAAAGTAGAGATAGAAACTGATCACTATTTTGTTCAAGGCTCAATTTAGAAGACAGATAACTGCAATTGAACCAAACTTAACCAAGCAGAATTTAAATTTCTGACATGTTACTGGTTCTATTTTCCTAACAGGAAACATTTAAAAATTATAATTAAAAAATGGGATACAATTTGCAGAGCGAGTATATGCTTGTAAAAGAATAACTTTTTAAAAATTCTGATTTTTTTTAGAAGACCTGTTTATAAAATTTTGGAATTAATAAAATGATGCTTGCTGGCATGTGGCAGGGGGAATGAGCAAAGTTAACACTAAAGAGGCTATATTATTACTCTATCAAGATAAAACCTGGCTGATCTGCACAGATCATTTCCCAGCCTTTTCTGTGTATGGCAGAGAGAATTCTATCCATTTAAAATTCCCTCTCTATAGAATTCTAGCATAACAATTCTTCAAGCTTTTTATTGATTCTACAGAACTACCCATTTAACAAAGCTGCCTGCTTGGTTAGTTAAACGGCTGATGGAAACACATAGCAAGCAAAGCCCTATACTGCTGACATTGCAACTCCGCTAGGCATCTAGCATAGGGGGCAGAACTTTCAAAGGTAAGAGCCAAGGACTGGATTTTAAGGGGGGGGCGAGGTAACAGAGGAGGGCTATAAAATAGGTAAGGCCTTACCACCTCTAGGAAGGCCAAGATTTGGGAAAACCTTTGGGAACTTTCTTGCTTTTAAAACAATCCATATTGATATGGTTTAATATACTACACTTCTTGACATCAAAATGGAAGGAAACACACTTGTTCAACAATCATAATCAGAGGACATTCCAACATTCCAAGGGCTACAAAATGAAAGTCTGCAGGTTGCCCACCCAACCTATGATGAGGAAGAAAGCAGCTTTTTAATACAGATGCCTACTGCTTGGTAACAATAAGATGGGAGGAAACGGTAGAGTTAAACTTGCTGTTAAACTTCAGTTTTAGCGTATGTCTAAATGGCATCAACTTCTACAAAAGTTTTCTTCCAGTATTATTTATTAGCCATTATATAAGTGTCAATTGTTTTCAGATTGCCACAGAATTAACTACATGAAAAGATACTCAACAAGCTTTTCTTAGGTAGTTAAGAGAGAACAGTTATTTTGGTCCAATTCATTTCTTGTAACCTGAAATCATACTGAATACCTTAGTAAATCCAGAATCTTAGAAGGCATTGGGTATAAAAAAGTGAAGAATATATCCTATGGTAACAACACATTTCATTTCATTGGAAATGGCCAGGTTTCCAAAGAAAAAGGGTAAAACAGAAAATAAATTTGACCAGTGGGATTTAGGAAGAAGGCCTTTTCTGCTGCTGCTCCTGCATCGTGTAACATCTTGCCCTTAGAGGTGAGGAAAGCGCCCAATTTCTTAGCCTTCCACACAAAGGGATCAAAACTTGCTGGGGGACACATTATTTTAATGTTAATTTTAATTTCATTGATTAAATTGTATACTGCTCTCAGACCCTGAGAGAGAGAGATGGTTAAGAAGTATGAAATATAAATAAATAAATGAGATACCGTGTTTCTCACAAAATAAGGCCAGGCCTTTTTTTTTTTTTTTTTGAGCCCCGAAAAAACAGCTAGGATGTCTTTTCGGGGGTGAATTCCCCCCCTGCAAAGCGCCATCTCCAACAAGAGCATCTGAGTCGTTCCTGCTTTTCCCCCGTCCCCGTAACAACAGGAAAAAAAAGATTTTGAGGTACCTGGGAGCGCTGCACAGTGCATTTTGGTTTAATCCTGAGTGGCTGGGTGGACGTGAGAAGAGCCGAGCGAGCGTCTCTGCTGCTGCTACCCTTGGTGCACCAGCCTCGGGCTCTGCAAGTTTGCAAAAGTCCCGGTGCGCAGCCTGTTCCTGCATTCCAAGCGCCCAGGCTGAGCTGCAGTTGTCCCTCTCTCGCCAGCGCCGTCTCCAGTAACAGCGGCAGCAGCGGAGGGAACCATGGAAGTTACAGAGGCAGCTCCCCCACCTGAGAAACGGCTGAAATGCTTCCACGGTTCCCGCCGCTGCTGCCGCTGTTGTTGGAGACAGCGCTGGCGAGAGAGGCGCCAACGGGAACTGTGGAAGCTACGGAGGCCTGGGAAGCGGCTGAAATGCTGCTGGACATCCACGCCAATGCCGCTTGTCTGCTGACCCAGGTAAGGGAGGGGTAAAGGAGCCCTCCGTGCTCCACCATGATTGGCTGTTAGGAGCGGCTGATGGTGAGGCGTAGCTACCCGCGGGGCACTCCTAATGGCAAGTTCCCCCCGCCTTTCCCCCAATTTCGCATGTTTTAAACTAGGCCTAAATTTGGTGGGAGGGGCTTAATTTCATTTTATGCCTAGAAAACATGCTGGGTCTTCCTATTGGGGGGGCGTATTGTTGGAGAAGCACAGTAGAAGCACTGAGATTCTAAAATTAGATTGTAAAAGCCTCATCTACTACAATACCACTGAAAATAAAAAAACAAGCTTCATAGAACCCTCTAATTAACTGAGAGACAAAAAGGACAATACTGGAAGCAGTATTCCAAATGTGATCTTACTAAGGCTTTATAAAGCGGTACTAATACTTCATGTGATTTTGCTTCTATGCCTCTGTTTATACAACAAAGAATTGTATTAGCTTTTTTGGCTGCTGTCACACACTGCTGACTCATGGTTAGTCCACTAAGACTCCAAGGTCCCTCTCACAGTTACTGTTTTTGAGCCAGGTTTTGTTTAATCTTTGTTTAATCTTTGTTTTTAATAAAAGTTTCTTTCAATATATTAAAAAAAAAAGAGAAAAATCAAGGAGACAATTGATCCACTGGGAGAAGATGGCAAAGAGGTGATAGATGGTAGGGAAAATGGAACAGCTTAATTCATTCTTTCCATCTATCTTTACAAAAGAATTCAACCTATCAAAAGCAGTACTTGTGGGAGACACAATAGGAATACAAGTCAAAATAGGTGTGAATTAGTCTTCCAATATTTGAGGGGCTGTTACAGAGAAGAGGGGGTCAACCTATTCTCCAAAGCACCTGAAGGCAGGGCAAGGAACAATGGTTGGAAGATTAAAGAACCATCCAATCTAGAAATAGAGAAATTTCCTTAAAGTGAGTACAATTAATTAGTAGAACAATTTGCCACCAAAAGTTGTGGATGCTCCATCAAGAGACTGGGCAATCATTTGTCCTGAATTACACAGGGTTTCCTGCTTGAGAAGGGGTTGGACTAGAAAACCTCCAAGGTCCCTTCCAACCCTGTTATTCTATTCTATTCTATTCTATTCTATTCTATTCTATTCTATTCTATTCTATTCTATTCTA